AGGAATATCGAATCGTGCACTTTTTTTGTATTTTATTCATCGCATATTATGAACTATTATGGATCTCTTCGCAAGGTCGTACATACATATACATATACATGCATATATTTCTGTACGCGTGTTATACAATATTAAAGCATAGTCAGTGAGATATATTAAAACTGTCTGATCTCCGACGTAATCTTGACGGTGCCCTAATCCCTCACCAGCGATGAAAGTAACGACGATGTTCGAGAAGAATCGCTAAGAGAAGGTCTCTCGACGTAGTCGCAGTCATAAAAAGCGAGCCTCTCGACCGTATCTCTATCGGCCTTAAAGGCCATCGCCGAATATTGAGGCCATATAGGGGAGCAAATAAATAATCTCGCGCTATGGGCTCGATAAATTTTCAAACAATCGATAAAGCCGTATCCTCTTATACATACATAGAGACCTTGGCTGGACCGCGCGAGGTGAGAAAAAATATAACAACCGTAAAAAATGGAGAGAATAGCGCACACATGATGTTCTTTTCAATATCCAAACGGAGCACGAATTTTTTATATTTTTATGAGAATGTTGGAAGGATAATTTAGAAAAAGAATAAATTGAACATATCAAGATAGTTTAGAATGAAAATTCGTAGAAAAAGAAAATTTTATATGTTAAATATATTTTTTACTTACTATATAGATACACATTTTTTTTCTCTTCGATTACAAGTGTGCATTAATTATAAAAGAAAGAAACATTTTGTATCTTTTTGAATATTAATGTTTAGACGAAAAAAGCACTTTGCATCAAATCCTCCTTGAAATACAAAATAATTTAATGATATCACAGGTCGGAATGCGAAAAACATTAAGGGTGGAATGAAGAAGCGTGACGATGTGCCTGTACGACAAAATTTCGCTTTAATATGTAATTCCACAGGGCGTGAAAGGGCAAACGGTGAAAAAAGCGTTCAAATGAAACAAAATCAAGTTTATGTCAAATATTAAAATGAAGATAAAGACAGTATTCAATGGGCGCATTAAAAATCAGCGAACTGTGTGATTAAATAAAATATCCAGTGGAATATTACGGAAAATTACGCCTCTATATGACAATAACTGGATATAATTTTAAATAAAAATATGTAAAAATATCTGCTGCATGCAATGTAAATTATTTGCTACAAAAATTAATACAAGTACATTCTAATTATTTTGTATATTATCATTATTAAAGTAAATAGTGTCAGTTAAATTAAAAATTGCTCAATAATGAATAAAGTGATTTACAAATATTAATATAATATATATCTAAATTAAATCAGCCGAAGAGCCAAAATACGCGCGAAAATTAATTCTTTTCGTGAATTTTTAAACTTGACAGATTGCCAAGATTTAATTAAAAATATTAAAAATATTAGTAATATTTTTTAAATATTTATATCTCTATTTATTGATATAAATAGAAAAGGCAGAAGAAAACAGAGCGAGCCGGAGAGGTGATATAGCGCGAAAATTCCAAAGCTACCGTAAAGTCGAGAATATAGAGAAGACACAGAGAGGACCGACGTACAAACATTTTCAGCGGCATCGGCTGGGAGAAACATAGCGCGCAAAAGCTTTCATCTCATCAAGTTGCCTTTGGAAAAGCGCGGATGTGGCGCAAAGAGATTTCCTACAAAGAAGCGGACACGACACACATGCGCGTGTACGCAAAGAAGCACTATGCACGATTAAGTTTATGCAAGAAGATCAATAAGGACATAATCCTTGTGTCACGAGTACACGTGTCGCGAGCGCGAATTATTTATCCTTTTTATAATAGCGAATTGTTCGCAATTCTTTCTGACACGGGAATTTAATTCATTCGCTTTATAACAAATGTTCGGAGCAAACAAAGTCAATTCGATTATATCGATTTATTAATGATAACATGGAAAAGAAAGATTTTTATGGACAGTTCTTTATCTTTTTTCTTCATTTAATTATTACCAAAAAATACGGAATATATATTAAATGATCGAAAGACATACGATCTCTCATATCGTTATACTTGATATTTGTGATATGGCACAGTAAAACAATATTAATTTCAGTATCACTAAATTTTAATATTCAATTTTAATGATATCTCACGCCATTATATGAAACGATATAGGTATATAATATCCCATTGCGACGTTAAAACGAGAACTTTCGGTATTTAGTTAAGTGAATGGTCAAATTACGTGGCGCTATTAACGCGAAATGGAATGATTTTCGCTGATCAAGAGAATGAAAAGGGGGACATTTACAATTCTAAAGTGACTTTTGCGATCGATCTGCACACAAATAAATGCTTTACACTTTGCCGTTGATCTCCAGGTCCGCCTGTGTGTACCTTAAAGTCGCCTTCGAGAATCTCGAGATCTCCGGGTCTCTCTGGTCCGGACAGATATATTGGGATCGCTCGTTCCGGGCGCTCCGTATTTTCGACGGGATCGATGCCAACTGTTGAATATTCGATGCGCCGCGGATATTCGCGGGGATGAAACCGGTCGTTAAATAACCGGCCGCGTACTCCGGGCACGATCTGTCGATTACCCAGAATTTTCTATCCCGATCCGATTCATGGAGGTCTCCAACCGCACGGTTCGGCCCCGCGTGATGTAATTACGGACGTTTTAGTGTATAATTCACATCTGCATGGCTTTACATTTCATTACGTTCTAAAAATACTCGATTGCAAATCTTGACGTGACGTGACGTGATTTTCATTCGCGTCCAATACCAAACCCATATCACCGGTGTGTGTGTCGAATATGCAATTATATCGCGGAGCCTTTGACAATTACCGCCATGTGTAATTTATGTTTCATTATAGATCTACAGTATCATTTTTTCACCGCTGTACATATTAATGTCGTGTTAAAAAGCTTCTTTTTTAATTCGTTGTTATACTCATCAAATTCGTGTTCAAAGAGAGTGCATCAAAGTTTGGATAAATATAATAATGAAAATTTCACGTACATAATCATTTCACAATCCCGTCTGATGAAAATTGATACGTTTTGCTCGATGCACAAAGAGAATTTTCTCTTAGATATTTGAAGAATTTTATAAGAGTTTCTCTGATTAAATATTTACTACATTAGAATATATTAATGATTAAAAATATATTTTCTCTATGCAATGTTAATATAAGTTTCTAGAATACAATCGATATTTTTTTTCATTATTTAAAACAATTTTTTATAGATTATTTTATACCTTACTTTTTCAGATTATATTCTGATTTTTCAAAATATAATTATCTTTCTCTTAATAAAATGAATCTATATAGGAACGTTATTTTAAGTCGTACGTGTTCGGCGCATGATAAGTCATATCCTTTTCTTTTGATATTTTTACAATAAATCACAGTATAAATATGTAAAATTACACTTATTATTTACGTAATTTTACATATTTTTACTACAGTGTAGCGCCGTGATCAAAAGCAGTTGTCACGAAATTAGAAAATCTGAATTCGAGTCGTCAGGACAGCTGATCAGCTGTTCTCGTCTGACATTTGCCACCCTTACAGCTCTGCATTATAATTTATGTTTGTCTTCAATTAATTGGTGGGGAGTTGCCTCCCCACACTACCAAAAATTAAATGTCTAACCTCTTGGTTACAGGCCTGGGAGAATCGCCTTGTTGATCACAGTTCTCCGACACGAGATACAAGCTAACTAAAAGTACTTACATATATTCTTGAAATAATTTTTTATATACATTGCTGCTACATTTTCGTCCTCGAAAAGTCACTTATCTCCATCTATCGAGCAAAAATATAATCAAAGGCACACATACACGAACGCACACAAACATAAATACACACACACAGATATACAAATAAATAGCTATGGCTCTTTGGATTATATCTACTTTTCCACAACAGATGGCACAAGCATGAAGTGATTTCCGTGAGCAAAAATCAGTCAGTATGCTATATAAGATCAAGAACGCTATTTCAAAAATTATAATAACCGTGTGGGTGAACAGTGATCAACGCAAGCCTGTTCTCCCAGGCAACACCTGTAACCAGGAGGTTAGACACATAATTTTTGGTAGTGTGGGGAGACAACTCCCCATCCATTAATGTATAGACAAACACAAATTTTAATGTAGAACTCTATATAAGCGTGACAAACGTCAGACGAAGACGCTGACTCGAACTCAGGATCTCTTCATTTTCAGGATAGCTGGACCTTTGACCACCGTGCTATGCAGAACTTACGATCTGAGATCTTTTTTTCGTATATTTAAGTGGTTTCTTGGTCAGACGGTTAATGTATTTTCGATGTATATAAAATATACATTGAAAAAAAATTGTTAACTTGACTAAACCTTTCATTACACATATTATTCTGTTATTTAATTGAACATATAATAATATTTAAATTAAATATAACATTAAATTTAATAAAATAGTAAATTAGTTGTCTCGATAAAATATTATTCAAGTCAAGTAAATAAAAAAGAAGCTAAAAGCCATTTTTCTGTTAAAATAATCACTATTATTTATTAAATAAAAAGAGTAATTGCATTTTATAAATACACTTTATTGTATCTATACAAAAAAATAATTAATATCTACTAGTAATAAAATATACAAAATATGTTTGATTAATTTTACTATGTACCTATTAATATTTTTATTGCGGTAAATATTAATAAAAGAAATTCTTAAAAAATTCTTTTAATATTATTAGTCCACAATTATTGTATCATTCGTGTACATTCACGAAAAAAAATTAACTACCATAGCTAAATTTTAGCTATAACAGCTAATATTTTTTAGCTATTCTCCGTTAAATTATGGCTAAAAAATATTAGTTACCTAATATTAGCTAAAAGGCAGGATAAATAAATTTCGGGAAATTTGTAATATATGGACATCTAAAATTGAGCTATGGTAGCTAATTTTTTTTTTTTTTCGTGTTGATAAATGATTCGCGGCGATCTGGGAAAATTCTGTGCGAGAAACAATGAGATATTACTCACCTTCTTCATGAAGGATTTTAACGCGTTGTTGGAAAACATCCTGACGGCTCTGTTTCGATCCCGCTTATTCTCAATGGAGGAAACAGGGGATCCCTAAGTCCCGATCGCGTCTCTCGTCACTTCCTGCTGATCGGCGCTGGCTGCCGGCATAAAGACTCTTTGCTGATTCACAATCGCGGACCTCGGCTCACAATATTTCCGTGACAGAGATGTGGAATCTTGTTTGACGGCAATTGGAGCCGTGCGGCTCGCCCTCCTGCCGCGAAATCATCTCCCGCGATTATCACTCGCTCTCAAAGTGACGCGGGACGTCTCTGCGACGCGTCGTCGTGTAATCTGAAAAACCCAAGTGTCAACGTTAATGACGTGCGAGCGTGACAGGTCCGGAGAGCTGTCTCGAGACCCTATAGTCAATAACGTTCGCATTATAATGCGATATCTTATGTACGGATAGAATTTTCTCTTAGAATTCATCCTGAAAATCATGGTACAATAGAGAATTTTACATAAGAATTTTTCTGATAAATATTTACCACAATAAAAAATATTAATATATTAAAATATTAATATATATATAATATAAAAAATATTAATGTGTACATAGTCAAATTTAATCATTTTATATCTGCTTATTGTATAGATATTAATACCATGATTTTCAGGGTGAATTCTAAAAGAAAATTCTCTCTGAATGCTTAAAATGAGTTTGTGATAAATGATGGTATATTTATATACGTCTTCTCTGAATAACTCTCGATAATACATTTCGTAATTGTTATCTCTATCGAAGTTTTAATATTTATTCGTAAATATTTTCAGCTTATTCCAAGCTCGATCAATAAAATTTTCTATTTTAAAGGAGAGATATGGAGGTTTCGCACAATTCTCATATCACTTTGTAGTTTGCAAACAATTCTCCCTCGTAGCTTAATGTTAGTTGCTTTGAAAGGAATGTTTGGTCGAACGTAATCTCATTAGAAAGTTTAGACAAACAAATATTTACCCGCGCAAATTAATATCTGGCTTTGTTTCGTCCTGCATATGACATTGTTGAGAGCAAGCTCATGTGCATGTCGCTAAATAATTAATCTCAATTTTCCTGATGACAATTGAGAGGTAACATTTTTTTTAATACATGAGATCATTATATTCATAATTTATTAATTTCTCAAATGTACTCTGACTCTTTAATCAAAATTACATTATTTTAATGACGCTAAAAAGAGGAATAATTCTCTTTTTTTCTCAGTCATACGAACGAAAGTTAATTTTTACTCAGAGAAGCGCAAGTTTCTCATAAAAGTTGGAACTGTTATACTTTGATAAAATAACAGAGGGAAGCTTGCTTGACCTCGTTTATGTTTCATGCTCTATGAAATTCCAAACGGTCGCATCGAGTCCGCATGGAATGGCACATATCAAAAGAATAATTCAATAATTCAATATTTATGTACTATGTCAACGTCCAATATTTTTAGTTGTTGAAAGGCGCAGGACACGTTGAGAGATCCCTAATTTTCTCGAGTACAGCTGATGTCGAAATTATAATTACAAATATAAATTCACAGCATCCAAAATTATAATAATAATACAGTTGAAACATATTGTTTTTCGTAAATACATATTTAGGATAATTGTTAGTCTTTAATGGACAAGAAACGGCATAACATTTGTTCGTGTAATATTAATGAAGAAACAAGGAAAAGTTTTAATTAAACAGTTCTATTCGCGCGATTGTATTTAATAAAAATAAAGATAGGAAAATAAAATGTAGTTATGAGACTAACGCGTTCGGAATTGCGCGCGACTTGAAGTCGTTAAAAATAAAATTTTCTGCCGAAAATTGTAATAAGAGAGAGACGTACCAAAAACAAAGTTCGCTAAATTTAATCAACGCATACCGACACTCTACAATATACGTACTCATTCTCATTAGCTGTAATTTCAATCAAGGAAATCATCCGCGCGGCAACTGAAGGCACTTAATTCCTGAGCGTAGTTGATCATGACGGTACCGTAATTACGAATTCAAACTACGCTGCTGTAGTTATCGAAACTAATAATAAATTTGTTCAGATCCACGTATGACGTGCATACACATTATTTTACACGTGCACACATTTTGCCGAATATGTGTAACCAATCATTTTTGACAAATGAGATAATTAGCACAATCTGTATTTGTGTTTATCTCCTCAACGAATTGTTATCAAATTATCGTATTAAACGCATATTATCGATAACTAATAATATTAATTAACAAATTTAAATTAACATGTTTTCACGGACTGTTCTCTTTTACGTTTGTTAACTTGTTGAAATTAAAATAATCTCTCTTTCCTATAAAATGAAACAGTTCTCGACGAAATAAAACGATTAAGTAATTTGTGACTAATTGCATATTTTTTTAATGCAAGTATAAACTGTAAGAATTATTATTATCAATCTCGCATTTCGAAACATTTTTAAATCATCGACCGGTAGATTGAAAAAAAATTATTAAATTAATAAATATTTATTTCAATACTGCCTAATCAATCATTTATTTGAAACAAATAAATATTTATCTGTTTCGAAAGGGATTTCCTTATATGAAATAAATATTTTTCGCCTCAAATCAATATTATGTATGCCCAATTAAATAAATGATTTATTTTAGGCAGGTATTGAAATAAATATTTATTCGAATCGAATACATTTTTCTCCAGTGTATAGATTCCGCAAAATTATTTGAGTCGATTAGTATTTTAATGCCGTTAGATCGCAGTAGATAACTTGGCAAACTTTGTCAAGCTTTTGGTTTCGCGAATTGATTTCGCGTATGGCTTTCGGAAGCTGACGCGGTCTCGCCGCTTTGAAAGCCGCGCATCCACTCTTCCGCATTCCGTGGATCGGGCAATTAACCTGTCGTGCAGTAAGACAAATTTCGCTCGCAACCGGCGAGCGTGGCTGCGTGAATCATAGTAATTGCGATGTAAATGGCTTTGTTAACCAGTCTGCTAGGAATTAACGCGGCGCTGCCCAGTTTCGTCCGTCGCGCTAAGCGCCGTGGTCGAAATTTGTTATTGCCGCGCGGTCGGGATTTTCGCGTACAACGTCGCTGTTGGAACTCGCTTTGCGTATTCGCATAATGCATGGGACTCAACAAACGGGCTGGATATCGCTGGCAAAATATAAACACACGTGAACAACACAAACAACGCGCGTTGTTGGCCGCGTAAATTCATTTTCAATTTTGAATCAATTAAAGATAGAAATAAAATTAAATAACTTATATAATTAAATAATTTATATAATAAATTAAATAATTTATAATTTATAAGCTCGCGTTATACAATAAAAAGATTTATTGGAAGGCCTTGACGAGCAAGTGAAATAAACCAATTGAGTTACAGAGATGGGTATATACATTAAATGTTAAGAATATCTATCAAATAAAAATATTACATGCGTATTGACGCGATCGCGGATAACAATTATATTAAACATATGGAATTAGTATGCGCGAATTAATTTTCAAAGATATATAGAAATAAGTTGGGAAAGAGAGAGAGAGAGAGAAATTCGCGCGCGATGCCGAAGCGAACTTACAAGACGGAAGCAAAGCGAAAATGCATTCGAACGTGGCGCTGAGACGATGATACCAATTTTCGGAAAAGGAAAAATAAAATATGAAAGAGAATCGATACGGGAGGAGGTCGAAGCAGGAGAAAAACGAGGAAGAGACGGGCTGGAACAATGGGCGGAATGGAATTTCAAGCGCTTCGCGATCTCGTAATACCCTGGCGTATATTAATTTATCTCATGATGATCCCGTCGCGGTGGATAATATCCATCGAACGTGGGCGCTCGTCGCTCTTAGACGACGATAGAGAAGGAAGAAGCAGGTCCGGTATTTGATTATATTAATCGCCGAAGTTAATATTCGCGTGGGACAACAAAACGCGGAGTTGCAGAGTTCTCTCCAAAATCTCTGACAGATTCGCGTAAAAATGGTGTGGAGAAAGTTTTCTCGGTATCGGATAACACGTTGCCATTTGGTAGATCGTTACGCTTCTTCCCTGAGGGAAAATTTCACGAGCTATATTAATTAGCGAAAGCGTAGGTGCTTCGTTCGCATATTGGGAGGAAAGGAAAGAGAGAGAGATGTTAATGACCTGGGGGTTATCTCGCGTGTTCACGGCGAATAAAGGCAGCCTCGCGATTTATTTCGCTTATGAGTTTACGTATTCTATATTTTTACTTCTCTCGAAAAGCTGGGATAAAAATACCCAAAACGGTGTTTTCTCTTTCCATCAAATTCGAATACAGTTGAAAGATTTGTGTTAAAAGCAGATATCACGTGTTCCAAACAATCCACAAAAATTTTTGTGTTAATTTTATATAATATGAATATATATATGTTAAATTGAGACACGAATGTGTTAATACTGTAACTCAAAATAAATGCAAAACTTTAAATAATTTAAAATAAATTTTGTGTAAAATTAACACAGCTTTATAAGATAAAATTTAAGTAAAAATGTGTTGATTTTAGATTTCATCATCCCTACTTATAAAATAAAAAAATCAACATTTTTTTCTGTAAACAGAATTCTATAACAGAATATATTTATTGTGTAGAATTAAAAATAGATGCACATGTTATTTTTACATCTTTTTCAGTTGTTTTAATAATTTAACATTTAAGTTCAATTTTAATACAATAGCAATATATTAAATTAACACATGAATGTGTTAAATATTTACCACAAAAATTTTAACGGGGACCGTTTTTAATAGAAAAAAAACAAATTTTCCAACTGTGCTTTTTCGCTACATCCTCGAGATATCCCTGATAAATATGCTAATTTTCCATAAATCCGCTTCCAGCATTCTTATAATGGATATTTAGTATTGACAGAATGCGTAGCAGGTATTGAGAAAAATTCCGCGGAGAGATATTGAATGAATCGCAAAAGCGGAGTCGTATATAGAAAGGCATCAGACCGTAACACGCAATATCCGCGATGGATGATCGCCTTAGAGCGAAGTGCAAACAAACCATCCCCGCAATTTACGACGAATAACCTGACTGAGGGAGGCTCCGATGACGTACGAGAAACGGAGACAAAATTATCCGGACGAGAAGATTCTGTCTGTGCACTTTTATAATGAATAATCAGCAGAAAAACTTGTACATTTAGAAACGCAACAATAGACAGCTTATAAAATTAACGTCAAGGATTAACGTATGTTGACGCTAATGAGGAAAGGAGAGAAATAAAGAGCGAATATAAAAACGTAAAGAAATTTCTCCCTGACATAGATGTAAAGAAATCTCGAAAAAATAGATA